AGCCTCTTCAGCCTCTCCCAGTTCAGGAAAAAGAAGGACCCAACGGCGGGGAGGTCGTAATAAGGCCCGGCAGAGTTCTGGGGCTTTCCTGGAGCAGTTTTAATCACCCAGGGCCAGGCTTCCGGGCCACGCTGAAATCAGGGCACTGGCGAGGAGGAGGGAAGCAGAGGGTATAAATTGGTGGCTGGTAATAAAGCAGAGAGCGCAGCCTGCAAGGACGTCTCACCGGTTTTATTCCACAGTTTCTCACCTGGGCCCAAAAGAGTCAGCCTTGCGTGGTGCACTGCCCTGGGGAAGAGAAGAGAGAAGGCCTGGGGCAGGTGGAGCCCCACAAGGAGTTCCCCAGCCAGGACCCCCCCCCCGGGCTTCCCAGGTGCCGTTTGGTCTCCTCAATGCCCCACATTCCCTCCAGCTCCAACTCCGGGAAAGCCACTGCCAGGGGAAGGCAGTGGGGTCCCAGAGCGCCAGGGCTCCCTCACCCAAACCCGGCCCTGGCAGAGGGACCATGAAGGAGCTCCTCTCCGTCCCTTCCTGCAGGTGGATATTGGTTCGGGCAAAGCTTGGGCTGGTTGGAGCGAGTGTCTGCCGATGCACGGATGGTGCTTTGCCACAACAATGCAGTGGGGCGGGTGTGCAGCCCCAAATCACACCCAGAACCCAGTCAGGGTAAGACCTAACAGCAACGGTGGCAGCGGAATCAGCATTGTGCCTGTTCGCTTTCCTGGGGGGAACGTGTCAACGTTCCTTCTTTGACTTCTTTAGAACCTGGCAGAGGGGGTCCGTGAGGCCATCCAGTCCAACCCCTGCTTAGCGCAGGAGGACCCTTGGCAGATGACATCTAGTTTCTCCATGAAGGGGGGCCCATCAGCTCTCCAGGCGATGGTTCCTGTGGGTTGCTTTTCGCAGTCAGACGTTTTCTGAACCCCTCCACTGGACTCTGCCCGGTTCTGAGTGAAATCCTGCAGGAATCCTTCCTGGGATGACGTCCTGACCTTGTGCAACCCCACAAGCGCTTGTAGGGTGCGGCCATCTCCCCTCTCGGTGGTCTTAAAGTTAGAGACAGCCACTTCTTCAAGGCTTCCTTCCCCG